TGGGTCAAGATAAAAGCAGTTTAATTAAAGCAAAGGCCAAGGCCATGCACAGAAACAAAAGGAAAACAAAGATGTTATTCTCTACTTCCCCTCAGTAAGTGATGTCCAGCCACTTCCTGAGAAAGCAGAGCTTCAGTATGGGTAGCAGCTGCTCCTGGAGACAAACACAGTAACAAATGTCCCCTCCTCCTCCCTGCCCTGGGCTGTTATGGCTGAGCTGATGTCACATGGTATGGAACAGCCAATCCGGGTCAGCTGTCCTGGCTCCGCCCCCTCCCAGGCTGTGTTATCAACACCCTGCTGGCTGCCAGTGCAACACTCAGCACTGGGAGGGCTGCTGTGGGGATATAAACTCCATCTCAGCCAGACCCAATGCAATATCTTATGCTTGAATAAATTACTTGTGTTGGTTTTATGATGACCTTGAGGGTTATATCAAAAGTCCTGTGATACTTTCCACTGAGAGATTGGTTTAGGCTTTTCTTATTCGGGATAACATTTATCTCAAGTTAGAATGTAATTTTTGGAATTCCAGAATGTAAAGTGCATGTTGTTACATGAGTGATGCTGTGACAGGAAAGGAAAACCTACAGTGGTTGAAAACTTGTATTACCTAGCACCTGTGTTACAGTGTTTGAAAACTTACAGCACCATGGTCTGTTATGAATTTTCAAGGAATACTCTTACTAAAAAACATAATAGATGTTTAATTTGTGGAAGTTGAGCTTAATTATTTCAGCATATCCTGTTGCTGCTTTCAAGTCAAGACAATATACCAAAGCCAGCTGGAGAGTGTTGATGCGTCTCCTCCTAGATACTCATAAAGGTGTATGACTTGATGCCCACTTTTTATCAGAACCCATTTGATATTTACTGGTGTCTCCCTGTTCTTTATTTCCTTTTGGTTTATATGGTGTTCAACATCAAGATGTTCTTCCTGGTAGGCTAGCAACTGATCTAAAGGGCTCCTTATCCCCAGTAGGACGTTTTAAAACCCCGTTGTCAGAGGCATGTATTTGGTCAATGTCAGTAGTTGTACCTTGCACTTACTTATCTTTGCCTGTTATTGGTTATAGGGAAGCATCATCTTAGAATATTCAGTGTTCAAATGTATTTTCTTTCCTGACAAAACCTCACAAAAACTTTGTTAGTCAGAAAGCTGTGATTCCAACAGAAAAATTCAGAGATGGTGGGGGGAGAGACAAGAGAGAAAGAAAGCATGTAGTTTGTTCTGTCAGAGATTATTAGAAAAAAGGATAAAGGAGGAAAAAATCGGAACAACACCACGGAGAGTAAAAAAATGAGCTCGGTTACAAATATAACTGCCTTTTATGTATGAGCTGAAAGTATTTTCCTAATCAGGATCTGAAGTTAGACTTTCAGATTGTATTTATTTTCTGCATCAGACGTCGCTTAAATGTTAAATCAATAGGGTAAGATACATACCCAGGTAATGATCTTATCTGTGTCTCTGCTAACAGTTCAGAGAACTGTACTAAGAGTTCGTACTACCCACTGCAAAAGAGGAAGAGTCCCCTCAGGACCTTGAGTACTGTATGCAATCAGGATAGTAGTTTTGATTGAATAGGACCCCCTGGGTCATCCAATTTTCTTTTGTCAGACTGGCCTTTAATTCATCTTCTGCTGAGCAAGCTCCAGCCTCTTCAGAAGAGATTTTCTTCCGCATAATATGGTAGGTCTTGGAGGCACAGCTGCTTCTCTGCTCATCCAGACTCTCGCTGTATACAAAATCCCTGCAAGCATCTGTTTTTGTCCTGCTATCTTGTCTACTTGGTAGATTGTCCGAAGGGACCTCTGGGCATAAACATGAATTGGGATTACAATAGACTGCAGGTACAGTACCTGTATGTAGTGCTGTCTGTGATGCAGTTGCTGGCTAAGTCTGGCAACTGCTAATAACATTGTGTTAGAAAAATAACTTCTTTCTTATTAGAAACATTAAATTCAGTAATTTGAATTCTGCTTGAAGAATGTGCAAAAAGCATGCACAATAATAAGAGTGCAGCTTGACACGAAATGTGTGGAGCCTGAAGGATTCACATAGAATTACAAGTTTAGTTAGATTGCATAAATACAGCACGTTTTAGCTGACTGTCAAAGCTGGTCATATGTATTCCCATCAGAGCAGACTCTTGTGGTTCTTGAGAAGAGGAGAAAAGGCCAAGAATCCTAAATCTGAGTTTTAAGGCAACCTGGGAAAGGTAGATTATGTTTCTTTCTATCAGTCAAAACAGATGTTTGGCAAAATTTTTATTAAAAGCAATTTTTGCTTTAATTTTATGGGTAGTATTTTTAGACTTGGTAGCTTATGAAAATGCATATGCTACAAATTGTAACAAGAGGTTGAGTAAATTTTGTAAGTAAATGAAATGCAACATGAAGTCTTTACTGTTCTTTTTATTAATATAATGCTCTGTTCAAAAGAGTAGCTTGATCTGTTCTTGACTGTGTAGTACTCTGAGTAGAAATTAGGAAAAGAACAGCTGTTCCTATTGGGTGCATTACTTAGTCTGAAACACCAAAATAGTTCCTGTCAAAAGTGTTGAGTTTCAATGGATGTCAATAATCGGAGCTGTCTGATCTCACCCATCTTCTGTCATAGTGCAAATATTAAAAATGTTTTGAAGATGTAAAATGTAAAATTCTGGGCTTTTTGTAAATAACTGGTTTCATTAGTTTCAGTGACGTTGATGTTTCTATTTCAGTACATAGGAAAATAATTTCAGATTTGTCATCTCTCTATCCCGATGCAGAAATCCTTGTTTCTGTGGTTGTTGTGGAAAAATATAACTTTAATTCTGGCATTTTATGATCTTTAAATGTCAACCTGGAGAGACTTAAGAGCATTTTTCTTTTATGGAGCGCTCCCAAAAGGTTAAAAACTGTGAACATTGGTAAAATCAACACTTGGAAATGGGGAAATTGAAGAACTAAATTACTCTTAGAGACTTAATTTTTCTTTATTACGCACATGTGTTAAGCTACAGCTTTTAATTCCACATTGATTCACAATTAGCTCTGCTTCCTGCCCACCTCCACCCCTCCCAGATCCACACAATTCACTTTATTTCCTAAGCAGTGCTGATGGAATGGTAGCTGATAACTCTTATGTTCCTTACTCCATGCATGGCTGTCAGGTCCCTTTTGTGTAGTATCCAAACTCTGCATTACATTGCACAGCAGTTAAATTCTTCATCAGTAATGATGCTCTTGTCTCCATATTCAAGCTCTTCACAAATACCTGTGATGCAGTAGTATTGGCTTGGTATTATTTTGGCACATTACAAAAGGGGAATTTAGTCATACAGATTGAAGTTAATATCCAGTAATTTGAATGTCTAATCTGAGAATCCTGTGGCATGGCTGTTCGGGTATTTTTAACAAAAAAACCCCCCCATTTATTTTTTTGCAATATTATTCATCTTACAGTACTTACATTATTGCAGTAACACCTGTGCATGGACAGTATTTTCATAAGCGAGATTTCAGATGTTTCAAGCTCACCGTAGATACTGTGAGGAAAAGACTTTGACCATTTTGTCCAGTTGAGCATTCTTGAGTCTGTCATTCTCTTATGCACAGGTCTGATTTAGTTTTGCTGAGTGGTATTCAGCTGCTTTAAGCAGGGAACTGGACTTTTTCATTTCCTGCCTTTGGCACGTGTTTCTGCAGAAGTTTAGGAGTCATCCTAGGTAGAGCAGTGAGCTTTATTGTTCCTAATCCTGCCATAGGGGTATTCAAAGAAGGAGTGACTCTGTGTAAATACTATGGTTATCAGGTGGTATCATAAACTTGTATCTCTAATAGATGTGCAGGCACAGCAGTGCGAGTATAGTGGCCTACGATGTGGAGGACCGAAGCAGTGCATTCTAGGACACTGCTGCCTGAGCTTGCTGTGTGGTGTCAAATATATAGCAACTATGTTAACAAAAGCACTGTACTGGATGCATAATGAAAGACTGCAAATTTATATCTACTTATAATACTTTAATTCACAGCAGGACTTTATCATGAGCTGTTCTGGAAATGATGTAGCATGCCCCCTCTGTCTGTTGCAGTGTCCATGCACTTTCATTTTAAATGAAAATTTTTAGATAGTAAGAAACAGTATCAGTTTCACGTGACTCATTATTTAGAGATAGCACTCTCCTACTTATGCTGTCACCTTTTATAGTGAGATAAATAAATGTCTGAGGTAATTGAATGTCAGTGATAAGTGATGTAGTTTTTGTGAAAGTCGTGCAGTGTACTTCTTGTTTGGGATATCACCATTTTTAAAGCTGAATTTTCATCCAAAGGTTACTAAGTACCATTTGCAGTTTGTTGTTGTTTTTTTTTTTTTTAATGTATTTATTAAAATGTGATGGTAGCAGGTTGTGAGTGAGTAGATGATTACATGCTAATTTTTCTGTGTTTTAGCTGTTTAGATCTCTAAATGTCTGGTTGATTTTTATAATCATTGGTTATGCTTTCCCCACACTGACAGTTTTAATGCATGCTGCTATACAAAAGCAGTTTTACACACATGAAGACTTAGGATAGTTTTACAGTGTTTTGATGTATTTACTTAAATACTAGTTTGCAGTTGGGGCCAATCTGATATGTGGAAAAAAAAGATCATTTTGTTGGTTGGGGTTTTTTTTCCCCCTGCAGATGTTGTGGCTGCATCTGTGCAATATATCTCTGATTTAGACTCTTAATCAAGAGCTATGAATTTTAATTAATTAAAAGATGCATGTGAAATTGCTCATACCAGAGAGAGTTAGTCTGAGAGTAGAAATGGATGTAGTGTGGACAGAGAGGATAAAAGCTTCCCTTCAGTGTCTTTCCTGTCAGCACCTTGTTTGAGTATGAGAAGGTAGGTTCTGCCACTGGCACTCCTGCTCTTGGCTTGTTCTCTGCAAAACATCCACTTGCTTTGCCACCAGTTCCCTGTGTATCCTGTGGAAAATCACTTATGCAAATCTTACATTTCTCCTTTTCCAATCAAATGGGAATACTGATACTAATTATGCCCTGGTGGCATTAAATCAGGGCATAGAGTGCCCTGAGGTGAAAGGCTCGGGGTCATGTATTATTTATTTGCTATTGTCATTCAGAGGGTTGTTCCCCAAGGCTGGAATGGAGATTATCAGTTTACAAAATGGCTGTTCTGATGGTAATAACTCTCAACTTCAGCCATCAACTTTGACATCTGATGAAGAGTAACCCAGGGAAGAGAGACTTCTCATTTCATTAGTAATCCTGCAGAGCATGCTGGCTGCAAAAAATTGCTCAGTCTTTAACAGAAGAAATCAATCACACAATTTAAAATAATATTCTCCTCATTATAAAATGTCAAATCACCGCTTAATACAAACCTTTTCAATTTTAATTTTTCTGCACTATTTTTAGGAAGGTAATGCATGTTGCAGAGTTTAGCAGCTCTGTGGCAAGCTGTAGGGAATTCACTCTAAGGAAGCTAAGGGGGTGTGGGTGGGGGAAACAAATGGAACTTGGAGCATGTCTGGGATAGGGTACCTCCTCCAGAAAGAGTCCACAGGGAAGCAATGAAATGTTCCTCAGGAGGGACTCTGCAGCTGCTTCCTTATCGGGGAGGGATGAATCTTCTCTGGTAGGCTGTTCCTCTGCCTCAGCCTGGAAACGGGGTATGTCTGAAATGAGCAGGGCTAATATGGAAGCTGCGTGGCATTCATTACTCAGGTTCAGTTAGGGATCATCTTCAGGTGACCTTATGGGCATTTAAACCCATTTTTCGGACTGCAGAATTCCTTCTGGTCAGCCAAAGTGGTTTCACAAACCAGAGCTGCGTCTTTACATATATTTTCTGGCTACAGAGCTTGTGTGAATAGGGTCTCCCAAAGGAAAATGAGCCAACTGACCCTTAAAAAAGAAAAAGAAAAATAAGAAAAAAAAAAAAGCAATGAATTTGGGACATTTGAGCTAAGAAATATAGTGTCATTCGAATTTCTGTCAAGTTGGAGGACAAGCCTGATAGCCAGCTACTGTGTAGTAATAGAGGGTACAGAAGGATGTATGTCATAGGATGCTGTCTCATCCCTGACAGTGTGCTTGGGCACTGTGCTGTATGAAGACTGAACCTGACAGGTGGATTTTTTTAAGCAAATCCTTACACTTATTCCCAGCTTACAATTTAGAAATTCTTCATACAATAGGAAAACTTCTATTGCCTTCTTTTATATCCTGCATGTGTAGTGAATTGCTGACTCTTTCCTGCAATGTCTTGTATACAATCTTATGTCTAAATGAGGTATCAGAGAAAGAAATGACTGTCTCTCTGGAGAAAACCAACCAAACAAGCAAACAACCCTCACCCAGCCCATCTTCTACAGAAATGTATGACTTACACCATTGCTTACAGGAAATGCACTTCCTGTACTTGCAATGGTGTGCCATGGCATTCTAGTGGTTTACTTTCTAGACACATTAATAAACTTCATTTTACACTTGAGTAATCTTCAAAGTGCAGATGAAGAGGTAGCTATAAAATCATGCTCAGGGCTTAGTGGGAGGTGTCCCTGCCCATGGCAGGGGGGTTGGAACTCGATGATCTTTAAGGTCCTTTCCAACCCAAACCATTCTATGATTCTCTCTCTTTCTGCTGCAATTTACACACAAAGGCACCTCTTCCTGGTCAGAGCAACAGAGGCAGGTGGTAAAAAAAAAAACAAAAACCCAAGGGAAACATAGTTTGCATCCATTGCTACAAGCAAATCCTTGGTGATTGCGCTCGCTCTAGCTTTGCTTTCACGTCAGTGCCTGGGAGATGGTAAGGAGATAAAAAAAAATGGGTCCTTAAAGAGCATCCATGTTTTCTCAGAGGCTAAGAACAGAGTATTAGAGACTGTAATGGTTGGCAGTGAGAGACATTGTTCAAACAGTTGTTCTTAAAAATGATGTTGGCAACTTTTCCTCAAAGCAAGATACAGTCTTCTACGCTCTCCCATAGACACAATTGCAGCCTTGACGTTTGATGTCACCATTTCAAAATCCCAAGTATTGCTGATTAAAACCGCTGCAGTTGTGGTTATTCTGCAGCTGTCTGCAAAGCTGAAAAGCTGTTATCTATGTTTTTGCTTGTCTGTGCTCTGCATGTGGATTGTTACACTCTCAGGACCAGTGGGGTTTTTTATCTGGTGCAGGTGTCAGAACAATGCAAGCTCTGTCAGGGTTGTTGTGAGTTTTCAATTGATCTCATCATCAGCATGAATATGAATGCAAAACATGGAAATATATATTTCACTTTCTTTTTTCCAGGTCAACGGTGACATTCCACCTCGATTAAAAAAGAGTGCCCATGAAATAATCCTGGATTTCATCCGATCGCGACCTCCATTAAATCCCGTATGTAATCCAGTAGCCTTCATTCTTAACAAAAATGTGGCTTTTAAAAGCATGTTTGTGTCCAGGGAATGTGTTAAATATTACATTTTCTGATGTGGACTTTCAAAAATGTTGTCTTCTGTGTATATAGAGCATGGTTTTGTAAAGAACAGTGTATCTGTATTACAGAAAGTAATATCTTGCACCTATCAATTGCTATCTGTTATTACCAGCAGCCCTTTATCTCTCTGGGAAATCATAATGAATAGGGAAAACTACAATCCTCTTTCCAATTTATCATAGAGTTATCATATCATAGAATCATTAAGGTTGGAAAAGACCTCAAGGATCGAGGTTTACCATTGAGTGCATGTAAAATCATATCACAACGTTCCTCATTTTTTTTAAAAAAAGTGTGAAATCTGCTTTCAGGGAAGCACTGTTTAATGGAAATATGTTTATCCCAAGGCCTCGGCAAGAAAACTGAAACCAACTCCACCACGGCCACGCAGCCTTCATGAAAGGATACTGGAGGAAATCAAGGCAGAGAGGAAATTACGTCCTGTCTCACCTGATGAAATACGGCGTGGCAGGCTGGGTAAGCACATTGCTAGTTATTACCTGCAACATCCACCAAAAACTTCCCACATAAGAAGCAGCAATATTAGCAATGTCTGTGCAGTTGTCAGGGAGGATGAAATTATTCTCATCCCTTCAGAAAAAAAAAAGAGCCTGCAGGCTTTGCTAGGGCTATGCAGTCTTTTTGATAAGTTATATTTAAAAATAAGATACTGTATGGTTCATCTTGATTCCCTTCAAGTTTTTAATGTAAGTATTAGATAAATTTAATGGCGTTATATTGCTTGTTGCATGTGACAGTTAATGTTGGAGTTGCTCGAAATTGAATGGGTATTGCTCCTCCCCAGTGCAATATTCCTGACATATCTGCAAGTATTCTTTACATGTCTGTTTTTAATTAATTTTGTTTTCTTTGTTTCCTGTTGTTAGCATCATCAATTTCCAAAAATAAGATACTGTATGGTTCATCTTGATTCCCTTCAAGTTTTTAATGTAAGTATTAGATAAATTTCCTTATTTCAATTTCCTTATTTCAATTTAAAATCTGCTTTTATTTTGTTTGCTGAATCTATTGCTTCTATTTAGAATCTAAATCTTTGCTTCATTTTCTAAGTTATGGAACATGTGTTTGTATATATTTTCAGTGGGCAAATAATTCAGACTTGCACTGCAAAGCATTTCATTTCTGCAGTGTATATTCAACAGTCCACTATGAAATTATACAAATACTGTCCTTTCCAATGGTCACCAATTTGCATTAGTTCAGTGGTTCTGATGACAAAAGCATGACAAATACAGTCTTACATTGTGACTTACATTTCTTTAAGAGCACGATGTTTATCTGTATCAGAAGAACTGAGCTAGCTGGATTTTTGAAGAGTAAAAGTGGCACTTATGGCTAAAAAAGCATGAAATAATCCACGTATGTACTCTCTGTCGCTGCTTCTTGCAAAATATTTGTGCTTGCCACGTGTGCTTAAAGGCACTGTTCCAGATTCAAGTGGGTTTTGACAATCCATTGTCTCCAGAGAGAAACAATTTCATCAGTTTTGCTCTGTTGCATTGTTTTTAAAGTGCTCAGTAGAGTTTGGTGAATGCTGGGGTGCTTTTTTAAAAGCATGATGTTTTGATTATTGGTTTTTTGGGCCTTCCAGTTTCTGGTTTGGATTCAGTTTATGCTTGTTGTATCAATTAATGTTTCTAATGGGCCTAGACATTTTTCCAAATATAGGAAGCTTTTAAGAACATAGAACAATTCCTTACTTTTCTTTCAGACGTTCAATTTCAGTATTTTAGATGGTCTTTCTCCATCTGGGAAATATCATGTCCTCTCATGGGCAGCAAATTTGATCTTTAAAATTTCTAATTTATATAAGTGACATCAAACCCATTTAGTAAACAGTTTCTAAGAACAATGTTAAAGTTTGGAGTATTACTGGTTAGAACTTCCTGGGCTGATTTCAGGGCATGGCCTCCAATGAGAGATACCTGTCTTCCACCAATTCTTCATTTTTGTTAAAGAATTAAATCTTTGAGTTTTGTAACTGTGGCAAAACTGTCGTCCCCTTCAGTTCAATGAACTGTTTGGATTAAATGGCGTATTACTGGAGGTGTAAAAGGGGATACATGCAAGATTTTTTTCCCAAGTGTTTATTTGCTGCTGACATGAAGAATGAAAAAGAGCAAAGGCCTTGAAGATAATTTTTTCTTATTTTGAAATGTGAGGTTTTGTTCTTTCTCACATTGAAATGATTGTTGTGTCCAAAGTTCCTTTTAGAATAAAATGTGTTTGTGCAGAATTGGGAATAGAGTAATGCTAGTGACATTCAGTATGGTACAAATAGATCTGCCATATAGTTTAAATGACCACTGAATGTAATTTGGTGTAACAACATGTAAGGTAATGAGGTTTAAGGATTATAAATGGTTGAAACACCATGTGGGACACTTGCACCATCTGAACAGAAATATTTGTTGCTTTTAAAAAGAAGAAAAAAGAGCATTAGAGTGAAATCTTTGGGAGTATAAGGTATGTTGGACATGTCCCAGAGTTATTCCTTGTTGCTTAGCTTATAACAGACAAGCACTTGACAACTACACTTCGCTGTTGGGGTGAGGGGGGCTATACTCTTGCAGATCCTCCTCTGTGAGGAGAGTGGACCTATGGCATGTGTTTCCCAGCAGCCACAGGCTTTGTCCCTCTCCTCTGCACGGCATACACATACAGGTAAGATCTTCTCCACCCTGAGCTGCCACTGAGAAAAGCCAGCCTGTGGCTGGCCACTCTCGATCTGAAACTTCTTCAGAAATGGTAATTTAATCTTGATGGCTGTTCTTACAAAGGGAGAGCTTTGAGTAGAGGAATTGGAATGAGCTTTCAAATGACCTCATAAAATCATTAGAGTAGGTTATCCAGACAAACACAGCCTTGAGGTACATTTCCTTTTAATTAAAAACATGGATTTGTGACTCAAGCAAGTTGACCTGATGGAGCTTGCAGAAAACTTTGTTTCGTGTGCATGTTTTATCAACCTGCGGTTAGGACTAGGCATTAGGTGATAAACACCCTTATGCTTTAAAATGTATTTTCTTTTATGCTAAGTTTGGACAAGGATTTAGATACTGTTTCTGTAGCTGTTATCTGTGGCTGAGGTTGTTTAGTTAATGAACTACAGGAAAAAGGCCCTGACTCCCAGCTTCGGCTCTGAGTCTGCCACCTACTGCGTTCATCACATAAAGTTATTCTCATGAACAAAGCTTGTCCCAGCACGACCTTTTTTAAAACATCTTTTAATGCAGTGGTATGTGTGGCTGGCAGGCCCTTTCATACCAACTTGCATGTTTATCACCTGTCAAATAAGACAGATAAGCTGATGTCAGTTTCGGTGCGTTCTTGTACGTTCTTCTGACTGGGCTTGGCCTGCTTATTCAGATTAGTGCATTGAAATTTTGTTTTCAGTGTCTGCTCCCTGAGTTGCCCTGTTTAAATTGGAAATATAGGTTGGTCTTTCCAGAAATAAAGAACATCTGACCACTTTCTTATCTAGGAATAAAATGGTTAGAGGCCCAGAAAGAAGTGTATCTTATGTATACATTTTAAAGACTAAGTCCACCTAAGGTTTTTTAAAAGAACAAGAATTGGCACAAATCACACTGTGTTTGGCCTTTTTTTCTATCCTCTTCAAGGGAACTACTGGTCAAGCTTAGCTTGATTGTCTCTCTTTATTAGTTTAATTATAATCATTGGAGATTATGCTTAAAAAAATAGAAATATCTTTATTTCAGGTCACTGAAACTTGTGTGAAATGTGGCTTTGTACTTTCAGATTTTTTTCATCTCTTTCTCTCCCCTGCCTTCCTCCTTCCCCTCTCCTCTTTCTCTCTTTCATGGCATTTTAACTGAAAAAAATCCATTTTTAGGGCACTTGCCTCTTATTTTTATATTTGATTTATTGAATTCAAAAAATCTAATTCTACAACTGCACAAATACATTTATAATTGCTCTATTTGCAAGTCCCATTTATGCTACTGTGGTTTTCAGACTTTGAGCTTTACTACAGTAAAGCAAGAGTATGTCTAACACATTTTGGATTTCAGCAACAGAATCCAAAATGTCTCAAGTGGAGTTAATATTTTGTTTTCATTACCACTCTGCTTTTCTAATAGTTGAATTATTTTCTTTTTGTTGTTTTTGTTTCTTTTTAACAGCAATGCGGCCACTTAGCATGTCTTACAGTTTTGACTTGTCAGGTAAAAGGTGCAACAACACCTGACGTGGTTATTGTGCTTATTGTGAAATTTGTTCCATCTGTTTGTTGTATTCCCATTTAAGAAAGAAACTTGAAGGGATTCTTCCAAGATATGGTCAGTGAAAATAAAAATTAAGATAAATTACTTTTTAATTACCAACATTTCCCTTGCCACAAAAGGGTGCCTAGGTATAGAAAACAACTATATTACACCTGAAATAAGAATGCTGGAATTCTGTTTAAATAAATATCCAAAATAAGGTGGCCCAGAGGTATTCCAAACTCTAAAAAGGATTGCAGAATAGAGTGTCACCTTCAAGTCTGGTTTACTTGTTTATTAATCGACCTTTGTGTCTTTATACTCACTTTTTGACTAGACCATCTTTTGCAGTACTTCATTTCTCATGAGGATCCAAAAACTAGTTTTGAACTTGTCTACCTTTCTAGATTTAATGAAATACACCTATGAATACTCATCTAGAAAGGAACTGTTGGTTCTACTGAGTGTCTTTACAGTAAATGCTTTGTGTGTTGTGAAATCAAAGTTGTTCACTCAAAAGAGGCTAAACCTTCCTTGTTTTCTGGTTAGCAAAATAAGCTGCTAAGGTTTGCTGGTAATAGCTGATACAGAAGATTCAATGGCTGATCCTTTGTCAACTATCTAATATCAAATTTTAAGTTTCCACTTACTGGGCCAGTAGTTAGGACGTGCAATAACTGTACGAACATGTTCTGCTTTGGAGACAGCAATATCAGAGGGAGTTTGTGCCTACTAGCCAGAAAAGAAATTTATTCCTCCCTCACTGTGCACTAACTTTCCAGGATGCTCAGGCCCAAAGACTTTAATCATTGAGGTTGAAAATATTCTGCATTAGCCTCCAAGGTTTGTCTGCTGAGGAGAGCTCTTAGGCAAGCTCTTACCTCATTTCCCCTATGTGACTCCCAAGAAAAACAGTCTCCAAATAAATCCATGCTCTCATTTTGTGAAGAAGCAACAGCAGCCTTCCCCCTCTTCCTTCCAGTTGCACATGGAAACATCTCTTCTGGGACTTTCGGTCCTCTGTTCCTCCATGCACCCTTGAACCTCATGTGGTCATTTTCCACATAGAAAGGCATAATCTGACTGAAATGCTGGATACTGGGAGCTACAAAGACCATATAGAAGCTATTTGATTACCAGAATATGAAAAATACAACATGGGAGCGAAGTTTGCAAGTGACCTATCTGAACATGACTTCATGTTCGGGCTGAGCCAAGTAAAGAGCTTGCCACTGTCAAGAGGTGAGGAGGGGCTCTCGCTGCTCCCTCTCCTCCCCAGGTTCCCCTCCAAGCACATTATTCCCTCTCCTCCTCTGCCAGTCCTGCTGATGTATTCACACGATGACCTGGTTAAACTCATGTAACCCAGGAACAAATACTTTTATTTTTATGCCAGATTGGTTTTCTGCTCTTTTCTTCGTTTAAACCTGCTTACTATCTGATCAGATGATCAGAGGGCTGGCTGAGGGCAGCGGATGAGCATGGGTGGAAGGGAGAAAGGAACAGGCTCTCCCCGTCAGAGACGGTGGCAAACTGTTAATCCAGCTCAAGCCCTTTGTGAAACCTTACACTGATGGCATACTATACAGCTACTACAGCTGTCTGGTGGGATTCAAATCATGTACTTGGTATCTTGTTTTAATCCACTGAAAGCTGAAGGGTCCTCAGGGGTTCGGATACTAGCATAAACAGGCAAACTTCAGTTTTCAAAAAGTATTTCTGCTTTCAGATATTGCAAAAATTCTTTCAGTTTTAAGACTGTAAAACTGAATGTAGAACTGACCAACAAAAGGGAAATGTTCAGATCTGTCCTTCTACATGTGTCTGTCTGCTTCTTCTTTTGCCTTTATTTCTAAGAATCCTCAAACATCTTCATTTCTTTAAATCCAAACAATATTTTGTAAAAGCTCCCTTCATAATCCATTAATTCATTACCATAATGTTTTTTTTTTAAAGAAGTAGCTCCATAGCAATCTCTCCTGGACTTGGATTTGCTCTTTTTAACTGACCATCGAAGAACTCTTCTTGTTTTCTTTATCCATCTTCCAAATGTGATTGGGTTTGTTTTTAAAAGTCGTGTCGTTCTCAGCAAGTAGTTATCATATGGTGTGACTGAGTGATCTGATAAATTGTCTTTGGAAGTAAATTCAGGATGATTAAAGCATTCCAGTGAGGTAGATGTGAGACACTGCATGAGCAGTACAAATGTATTAGATGGGTTGTCATGTCAATAGTGAGAAGATAAGCAGTAGTTTTGAATGTTGTTGCTTTGCGTGCTTCTACTTTTTTCATTATTTTAGAGGTGGGGAAGCTGTACTGTGCTTTCATTCTGTGATCGCTGTTTCCACGTACATGCTTGTTCACTGCTTTTCATTGCTCTCTGCTCGATGGAATTGCTGTCATGGAAAAGCACAAACCAGCTGAAAAATTGAAGTGTTTCCTGCTAAGTGCTAAAGGACAGGTGTGGGCTTTCATTATGCTTGCTGTCTGTGCCTGGGATGATGCAGACCAATTCTGAAAAGATTTTACTTGGCACTAAGCCAGAGTCGTTGGTATGTCCCACTGCCTGGCTCTGTGCATCTCCCTGCTGTTGTCATCCTGAAGAGCAGAGGAGGGGCTCCTGTGGGCCTCCTTTTACCCTGCTGTTTCCTACTGGTGGAACAGAAGGAGCAAGGATTTAGATATTGTTTCTGTAGCTGTTACCTGTGGCTGATGTTGTCTAATTACTGAAGCCACCTGTAATGAGAGTAATCTGAGACATACTCAGATACCAACTAGGGACCAAGGCCATCATTGCCCATTTCCTCCAATAGAAAAATCGCTTCAAAGCAGCCTCACTTCTGTGCACTGCTTTGAATGCAGCTCAAAAGACCAGCTATTCTCCCTCTTACCACTCAGGTTCTTACCTCAAAGCAGTATGCATGGCTGCTTTGACATTGTTACTTGAGAAAGAGTTTGTATATTTGGCGGTAGGGGAGCGGTGCAGGGAGAGAAAGGAAAATGAAACATTTCAACCCAAACTCCCAAACTTCACAGGCATTATTCCTGTAGTTCCCAACCCTGTGAGGTGATGTTTATCACTGTTGGCTTTACATGATCTGTGCCTCAGACCAGTATGAGGAGGGAATTCCACCAGGTCCTTGTAATCTCTTAGTTTAGATAACACAATAATAAATGTGATGCAAACATCAGCAAAAGATTGGCAGTTTGGTATACTGATTTATTAGTTTTCAGGTTTGACTTCAACATCTAAGTTCATTGAAAGGAATGGCACATCTCTGTTACCTTTATTCATTATATAATTTTGCACAGTATATTAGCATCATCATATACCTATATTAATTCTGCAAGTCCATTTTAGCCTTCTTTTAAACTCAGTGTAAAAATAATAAGATTGAGGAGTACATTGGCTGTGTAGAACAAAATTCAGGTTTCTGTTGTCATTATTTACCAAGGAGAGCTGGGTAGGAGGCAGACAGCATATGGTTACCTGACTGCTGTGGTTTGCATGTAATCTGTGGTCTGCTTAATTCCTTGCTTTGTAAGAGACATCATTTTACATGTAAATAAAAGAACATTTTGTATTGTCCTAGGGTGGTTTTTTATGTCTTGTTCTGAAGGCTAGTCAGGGAAGGCCAACACAAAGATCAAGTAATCAAATCAAGACCTTCTCTTCTTTCATTTGCCTGTTGTAATGATAGCTTAGAAGAGACTCAAAAGAAACCAAACATATTACTCCAATTTGCAGGTGCTGTTCATTGTACTTGCTGCTTGAAAACAAGGAGAAATGATACTCTCCCAGTGTGTCTGACTCTCCAATAAAATCTTAACCCCAGGGTGTTACTCACACAAGCCTTTTTTTAAACATAATTTGAATAATCTCCAAAACATTTAGATGTTCTATGAAACTAGAGACTGTGAAACTACTACTCACTGAAAAAAAAAAAAAAGGTTTATGTTTCAAAGAATTTTCCATTAATTTATTCTGTCATATTAATTTTTATAAGCATTAGTCTAATGGTTGTTCCTGACTTGTTTATCCTGATTAATTGTATCTTTATTACGATGTACAGTTATTTGCCACATGGTAATGTTTCTGTTGCCTGAATACATCACTAAAGTAGCTTAAAGTAATAATTTTTTTGTCTGTATCTGCTAACAAATCCTGGTTTTAATTTTGGAACAAGTTATTTTTGTTGAAGTCTGCTTGCTGAGACTGTAAAATTTCATGATCCATTCCTTAAATTATGACAATCCTTTTATTCTTGTATATCCAGTAATGTAAGTGCAGGAATAATAAACTGAACTTGAGCACTGTTGTCAAAATAGATTTTACACATTCAATGTTTTTCTGATTTTACTTTTGTAAAATTTACTGGTTAATTATTGTTTTATTCTTTAGTGCTTGCAAGTTGTAAAGACACTCCCTATTTTTTTTCTTTAGAGGAAAGTATGGTGATAAATTACATTTCCTACTGAAGAGCCCTTCAAAACAAATGCTATGGATTGTATTCTCAATTCACCTAAAGCTTCTCTGGTATTTCAAGAAGACTTATAAACAATATGTTTCTGAACTACTCATACATGTATGAGTTTAAATAGCACCTGTTTTAGGCTTTGTAAATAGTGATTGGCTACATAAATTACCTCCAAAATGGATCAGAAATTTCCCTTTACAGGGCCTAAAGAAACAGCATCTGAATTCTTAGAAAACAATACCTAAAAAAAAACCCCAAAAATCCCTAAACAAAAACAGAAAAGAACAGAAAACTGGATATCCATTTCATCACCTCCCATAGTGCTAGGAGACATCTGGTGGATGTTCCCTCCTCTTTCCTTTCCCCAGAGCTAGCGTGTGGTTTTGGTTTTTTGGGGTTTTGGGTTTTTTGGGGGGGAAGAAGGCAGTACTGTTGGCCTTCCCATCATTTTTATTCTGGTGAGTCCAACGATACTCGCAGGCCATTTTTCAACCTCCCTACTATCAGGCAGGGGAGTTACCACCCCAGAATGTTTTGAGAGGAGGGACACCAACACCACCTTTGGCTGTTGTGTTGTTGGTGCTGGGGCTGCTTCATTGGACAGTCTGGTCAGGAACTGTGCAATCAAAAGACAAATGAAAGGTTTTTCTCTTGCTCATTTCGGAAACCCTGAGCTTCTTCAATCAACTGCATGCCAGCTAATTATGAGGTCTCCAGAAAGTACTGGCAGAAAGGAGGTGAAGCAGTTTGTTTTTTGTTTTTCTGCTGTTGCTTTCTGGGACTGTGTTGAGCAAATTTTTTTGCATTTGATGTGGAGGACACCTGTGCTGTACTCACAGAAATCTAGGAGGAAAAAAACCATGACCTATAAGCCATAGTGCTAGTCAGGACACCCATTAGCAAAGCCTTTGAAGATAGGAACTAAGGGTTAGAGAGTCTAAGTCTTTGATTGCAACTCTCTTTAGGGGGGACCTGAAGGCAATAATAACACTGTAGTACACAGATTCATAGGCTTGGAATGTCACTATGACTTTAATAGTCCAAATATATAATAAGAAAATAGCCTTTTCTTGTACTCCCAGTTGAAGGTTTATAGAGGAACTGTAATACATCCCTTGTCCTTTCTAGCTCATTTTCTAGCATTGAACAATAACCTAATGAATTTTTTAAAATGTATATTGATTTAACTCGTTTGTCTTCTTATGACTTTTCAATAGCTACTCCCGTGAGAATGTTGTAATATAGACCTACTACTGCAACTGAGGCTTTGTCTAGACTGTGTAGTTTTAACTTACCTAGTGCAAGAACAGTTTTTATTAATGAAAATTGTGTTGTAGCAGCTGTGACCATGTCTGTTTATACCAGGGCAACTATGTAACTAACTCCAAATGATGTGTAAGTACTTACATTGTTGGCACTGGGAATATCTGGGTGATATAATTTCTCTCTCAGTCCTCCCAGTAACCTAACGTATGAGTCATTTGACCTTTTGTGCCTCATTTCACCATGTATAAAAATGGGAATAATAACTCATCATTACCCTAGCCTTAAAGTACCTGGAGGTAGTTTGTTATTACAAGACTGGGGAAGGAGTCCTATAATTATATGGGTAGAAAAACACATTTGTAGAAAGACCAGATGTTTAGGCGTACATGCAAATGGGAGATTAAAAGCTTTTCTTCCTTCTCTCTCCAACATAATTTTCTCCAGATTGGAATACTGCACTTTGTGCTTTTCCAGGGATAAAACTGATTTATCAGACCAAACTCTAAGGTCTCCTAAAATATCAAAGCCTAGGTCATTATCTTAATGTCTAAGCTAAGCTAGGCTAAGCACAGCAGACCCAATGTTTACATTACCCGAGATGCATCTTCATTGCAAGCTGGCAGAAATCCTGAGTAATTTTTTCAGTGGAGTTTCATCCTTGTAAAACTTACGTAGCCGAAAATAGAGCTGGAGCCTCATGTTTCTGCTGTTACATGAAGATTTGACATCACAGACATATTTTTAATACAAATGACCATGAAAACCTAAGAATTGTGCATATTTTTGATGAATGCTAGTTATTTAGCTCATTTTCATTCCTTTTCTGTATACTGCAGAATAAAGTATAATTCTGTTCTCATTGGAAAAACTAGGTTTATTCCATGCTGAATTCCTGCAACTCTGAGGTGTTGTCTTCAGATTCACTGGAAACTCACTTGTCCAGATATGGCTGTGCATACTTCTGATGCTTGTTATATAGTTAATTATAGATTATAAGTTGAAGGAAGAATATTTTTGGGTTTAACACAGGCTTTATTTTTTTTTTAGTTGATCGGTATTAGTCTACGGTTGGTTTTAAGTATTGTGCACTGCTGCTTTTTCCACTGCTCTCATTCTTTCATATTGCTTCTGTACCACAAGCCATTGCCTGTAGTTCTCTGACCAATGTATTGCTAAAGTAAGATAATTGCGCACATGTACCTATCACAATATTTTTTTTCCTATTGTGTGTGTTGCCTTGACAGTAAGATTTGAGAAGGCAAAATAAAATTCAGGTCCAAACACCAATTTTTCTGTTTCTTTTGATAGATGTATCTACGCCAGAGGCTGGAAGAAAATTATTGGATGCCTCTGTAGTGAATGGTGGCCTGGCACCACAAGGAAAGCAGAATGGGGCCACGCAAGTGACAGTACAACGCAAGAGACTGCTTAAGGCTCCCACGCTGGCTGAACTTGACAGTTCAGACTCAGAGGTAAAAAATCAGGACGTAACTTGCTTCTCAGTTTGTCAGAATTGAGTCTTATTCCTTAATTTGCTGAGTTTGTCAGTGGAGAAGGGACTTTGCAGATTATAATCTGAATTTTCCATGACTGCTTTGTCAGACCATAGAACTTCAAAAATATTGGATCAGACCTCACCTCAAAAAAGGGAATATTCTATAAAAAGTTGAATGCTAATTTGGCCTTAAACCCAGTATTTACTTATTTTTCTAAATGTCCAGTATCTGTCCACAGTGTATATGTAGTGATTATGCTTTTGGGAATGCAGGCAAATGTGTTGCACCCTTCTGGTACCCGTGCAGGAGCTGTCACTAAAGGCCTCAGGTGTGAGGCCAGCCTCACCATACCAGCTGTTAAATAAAGAGCATCAGCTGTGCCAGAGGGGTTGCAGTTTGGTGCAAATGTCAGGGCCTTAGTTTGCTATATAGGCTTGGGAAGTAACACCCAACAAATGTTTCACAAAAGGGGACAAGCAAATACCACTTAGACGGAGAAACAGCTTTGAAACCATCCTCTCTCAAATGGAGAGTTAAAGATTTTTAAAAGCATGAAAAGGAGAAAAGCTTAAGAAGCTCTTTAGCTTAAAAGGGGCATTATATATGATCCTCAAGAAGTACCAACATTACATCCTCAAGAATGAGGTTTGTCTTCTGCACCAGTAGTATTATTAATTGGGTTTGGACCTTTCTGAAAGTTAAGCTGTCTGGAAAGCACATATAGGCAGGATTTATTCACAGAGGCTAATTTTAGTTTGGGGAAGCAGTCTTCCCTGACTGTCTTTCTCTCTGGTAAAAGAGGAAGGAGGAGTTTCCTGACAGGGTGCTTGCAGAGCTGGAAGATAGGAGGCTGGGGAGATATATGTGGGGAGAAATTTATCTCTTTGCATACTTTTTTGATCTGGGAAAGGTTGTCTCTCTTTGTATTGGGGGTTATCCTGTGGGTGACTTGTGTGGGTGCATAATTTGGTGCATCTATTCTGAAAGCAGAAGAGATTTGCATTCTGAAATCTCTTGGCAGTCATTAAAATTACAAAGGAGGCTATGTGAGGTTTTGTTAATATGAATGAAGCTGGTTAGGATGCAGGAATATTAAGACCTGTCAATGAGAGTTGGATCTTGAACTTGCAGCTTCCCAGCTTGTAGCTCGGTGCATCCTAAAGTTAATGCAGCATGGTATTTCACACAGAAAAATGAGCAAAGTCAGTAAAAGAAAATTCTGTAAAGGGAAACATGGACTGATTCTCGTAGGAGGGAAAAATAAGATGTCTGACTGCAATTGTTGATTAGGGAATACTGTGTAGGCAAGCGAAGTCATATAGAATAAGTTCTGGAACATACAGCAAAAGATAAATTGAAAATAAATCAGCCACATCAAGCTGTCACAGAGAACAGATGCTGCATTCGTTTGAGTCAACAGAAGTAGCTGGTGAAGCAATTAAGACAATTAAGGTGCTCAGCAGAATACTGGTTGGGACTCAGGAATGGTGCTAAAGTACTGTAAAAAACAAACTGAAGGGAGTTTGGGTGAAATTTTCTGAGCTGGTGAGGAGGGTGGGATATAGACCATTTGAATAAAAGCAAAGATCGCGCTGTCAAAATGTCTTACTTCTTTCCTGACTTTTACTTTGTAGGTCACACAGAAGAGCATATGTGTTGTCCTGATTGCCTATAAATGACATGGCCTCCTCTTTGCTTGCAATTTGAATTGGTCTTACCCTATTTAGAGCTACTCACTGGGAGTTAAATTATTACTATGTTATGTCCTAAATTACAGGCTGCAAATATCTGCACTGCTGACCCATGGACCTCAAAATGAGCTATGATGCAGATGCATTTCTTTTTTCCCCCCTACATCCGCTTTGTTTTTCTCTCAGCTGTGTTGTGATGCAGACTACGCCCCAACACTCAGTGTTGTCAGCCCAAGGTGAAAGGGAAGGTCTGATACAGCCCT